GTATAAAACAATAAACAATTAGATCATACAATAATGAACTTTTAAAATATAACAAGAAAAGATAGCATTATTATATTCTTTAGATGATGTCATCACGACATTATCATATGATAACTATAGAATCAATCAATGAAATTGATTAATAATATTTTTTATATTTAGTTAAATTTTTCTTTATACAAACTTTTTCTTAAATATATTTTTCTTTTTATATATATAAATAAAAAAATAGTTATCATTAAAAACCAGTTTGTTAAAAACTGTTATTAACATAAAAATAGTTTATATCACAATTAAATCTTTGTTAAAAATATTTAAATAACAAAAAATTTAAAAAACTAGCCATTTATTTTTTGTGATGAAAACTATCTTTTATTGCTACTTATAACAAAATAAATCTTAAATGAGTAAAAAAGATAAAAAAAACTTAAATTACTAACCTAATTTTCCATTCAAATTATAAGTGAGGAGAGGTATAAGCATAAACGAAACCACTTAGCCTAAAATATTCAAAGAGAATAAAATAGATAAATTATTGAAGAACTGTTATTTATTTTTTAAGCACAAAATTTTAATTTGTAGAATGTTATCTATTAAGGGTGTTTTAATTAGATTTACTACATTTATAGATATAAAATATTTAGAATATTTTCTAAAAAATTATGAAAAAACTTTAATTTAATTAAATTTTTAAAAACTAAACCCTTTTTTTTATAATTGAATATAGCTTTTTTTATGGTGAATAAATGTTTGATTTCTTATAAATTGTACTTTCTAAGAATAATTATCCCAGTTTTATTTTCTGTTTATTACTTCAATATTAAAAATTTTGGTTAGAATATTATAAATGCTGTTTACAGATAATAGAAATTAAAGCTTTAGATTTAATTTATTTACAGATTTTCTTGAATTTTTTAAACTGATAGAAAACTCTTGATCCATAGAGATACTGATACTCTAACTTTGTTTATAAAAATCCTTCAGTAATCAGCAGACTATAATTCATTTGCTATTGATGAATTAATTTTCAAGAAATTTATGCTGCTCAAGATCAGATTAAACTTTATGAAATTCTGCTACAAATTATAGATAAGATCAATTTAAAATACCTATCATATATTTATTGTTGAGAAGGCTAACGATAGTTAAAATTAATAAAATTATTTTCAAAAATCATTAAAATAAATATTATCTAACGCCTTTTTGTTGTGACACAAATACTTAAATTGACTTTTAAGAGATTTTAAATTCTTGACAGGAAAAAGAATAAAAAATAAAAATGTTTGTGGAATTAATTTTAAAAAAACAAATAAAATTTTTATATAGATAGATGTATATACAAAAGAGGATAACTCTTAAATTTATTTAAAAATTTTTGTAGGCTTATATGATGTAAAAATCAATCC